TATTTGCCCAGGCTGGCTTCAAACAGGAATCCTCCTGATCTCTGCCTCCTGAGAAGCTAGGATTGCAGGCATGAGCCACTGGTGCCTGTCCTGTTGTAGAGCTCTTGCTAGCATCTGTGAGGCCTTTGGTTCAACACCAGTACTACAAACAACAACAACAACAACACAAAAACACTCAACAAACCAGGAAAAGAAAGGAACTTTCTCAACTTGATAAAGGGCATCTGTACGAAAAAGCTAACATTGTATTTTATGGTGAAAGACTATGCTTTCTCTCTGAGATTAAAAAAGAAAAGACAAGGAGTTCGATGTTGCCATATATTCAATACTATATTAGAGGTCTTTGTCTTGCAAGTAGGCAAGACAAAGAAAGAAAAGCATCCAACTTGGAAGGAAAAAGTAAAACTACCTGTTTGTAGATTATATGATCTTCTATATACAAAGCCTTAAGGAATTCTCAAAAAATATTACAATTAATAAAGAAGTTGGGTGTAGTGAAGCACATCTGTAATCACAGCTACTCAGTAGGTGACAATGGGGAGGATCATGGTTTGAAGCCAAAAGGGAGAAAAGGTTAGTGATACCCCATCTCAATCAACAAGTTGGGTGTGATGGTGAGTGCATGTGATCCCAGCTATGCAGGAAGCATAGGAGGACAATGGTCTGAGGCTGCCCTGGGCAAAAACATTAAGACCCTACCTGAAAAATAACTAAAGCATAAAAGGGCTTGGGAACATGGCTCAAGAGGTAGAGTGCCTGCCTAGCAAGCTCAAAACCCTGAGTTCAATCCCTAGTACCAACACACACACATAGTAAGCTGACAAGGATTACAGGACATAATACCAATACAAAAATCAATATTCTGATGTGAGGGCAAGCTGGCTGCGACATCTGTCACCCCACTGATTGCCAGGGTTGATTCAGCTGATCTGGCTGGCTAGGTGGGTGTCCCCTTCCTCCCTCACCGCCCCATGTGCGCCCCTCCCAAAGCTGCACACTCAGTCGAAGAGGATGACCATCCCCAATAGAGGAAGACTGTTCTTTGGTCAAGGGTATATGAGTAGCTGTGCTCCCCTGCTAGAACCTCCAAACAAGCTCTCAAAAATCAATATTCTTTCTATACACTTGCAACCAAAAATGTGAAAATGAAACTAAGAAAACAATCCATTAATAATAGCATCCAAAACATTAAAACACTTAGGCATAAATGCAAAACATGTATTGTTAAAGTCATAAACTATTACTGAAGGAAATTAGAGATCATCCAAATAAATGAAAAGATCTTGTGCTCATGATTAAGGCGGCAATACTCCCGAATTTTTACATGGAGTTGCAAAGGATCCAGGGTAGCTAAAAAAATCTTGAGAAAAGGAACAAGGTGGAAGATTCATATGTCCCAATTTTAAAACTTACTACAAAGCAGTTTTTCATTGTTGTGGTAAATACCTGAATGAAACAGTTTAAGGAGGAAGAACTTGTTTTGGCTCACAGTTCCACAAATTTTAGGCCATGTGCTTGCTTGGCCCCATCACTGTGGGCCTATAGTGAGGCAAAGGATTATGGCAGAAGGTGCAGTGGAACATAGCTGTTTACCTCATGACAGCTGGGAAACAAAGAAAGGCAGAAGTCTAGGACAAGATACAGCCCCTAAGAACATGCCCCAGTTACCTACTTCCTCCAACAAAATCCCAATTCAAAAAGTTTCCACCACCTCTCAATAATGCCATGAAATTATGAATCCATCTATGGATTAAACCATTGATAAACACAGAGTCCTCATGGTCTAATCACTGCTCAATGACAGGATCCACCAGCTGAGGACCAAGTCTTCAATACATGAGCCTGTGGGAGACATTTCATACCCAAACCTTAACAAGTGAGCAGGGCTAGGGATGTAGCTCAGTGGTTGAGTGTTTGCCTGGCATGCCTGAGGTCCTGAGTTTGATCCCCATTACTGCAAAAAACAATCAAGTAGTGATCATTCTACAACTTAGGGGAGTAAAGAAGGAACTAGGAAGGGATGGTAAGGGGTGTGAGGCTTCTTTCTTGAGGTGATGAAAATGTTCTAAAGCTGGTTGTAGTGATGCATGTACAGTGTTGTGAATATACTAAAAGTTATCCAGTTATACCTTTTAAATGAGTGAGTTTTATAGTGTGAATATCTCAGTAAAGCTGTTTAAAAAGATCACATAAGTGCTGGGGATGTAGCTTAGTGGTAAGCACTTGCCTAGCATGCATGAGGCCCTGGGTTCAATCTCCAGCACCACAAAAAAATTTTTAACACACATATTTATATACTGTCTTATTTACATATTTCTAGACATTATCTCTGTTTCTATGGGTCAAGAATCTGAGTGTGATCTAGCTGAGTGCCTCCCCCAAGGCACAGGTGAGGTTTCACCTGGGGCCACAGCCATCTCTAGGCTGGACTGTGAAGCAGGAAGCACTTCTGACCACTCTATGGTCACTCCACAGAGTTGCTCCCCCTTACCCACCCCCGCCCCCCGCCCCGTGGCAGCTGGCTTCCCCGAGGGCGAGTGACCCACAAGACAGAAAGAGAGCACTCAAGACAGAAGGCATAATCTTTTCCTAAGCTACTTCGAAGGGACATTCCTCACTGCTGGCATGTTCTAGTCAATAAGACAGGTCAGGAAGGCCAGTGCACACTCAAGGGGAGAGGATTACACAAGGACCTAGCAGTATAAACACTAGGAAATGATCAAGATTTTCCCTTGACCAAATTCTAGTCAGGCTCTTCTGAATCCTCTTCCTAACCAGGCTCTAACTTCTGGGCTTCCATTTTTATCAATGCATTGTTCAGGCTTTCAGAAGAATCCTACCAGGTCAGTTAAGGCAGAATCCTCACCCTTGATATCTGCTCATCCTCCATATCTGATCAAAGTCCTCATTCTCCCCCCCCCCCCCGCCCCCAGGTAATAACTGACCTGGAAAGGCAGGCCTGCCTGCACTAAGAATCCTGTTAGGTTTATTTAGCCAGAACCCCTCCCCCCAAGACCCTTGATGTTTCCTGTTAGATATTTTTCACCCACTGACTCCTTGGCTATAAATTGCCACTTTCAAGTCAGGTGTAATGGTTCACACCTGTAGTCCCAGATACCGAGGGGGATAGGGTAGAGGCCTGAGGCAAGAGGATCATTTGAGCCCAGGTGTTTGAGACCAGCCTAGGAAACACAGTAAGACCCAGTCCAAAAAAAAAAAAAAATCCCCCTTTTCCATGTTGTGTTTGGAGTTGCATTCATTTTCTCTCCTCTGCTACAAAACCCACTGCAGTTGTCCCTATGTAATGGTCCTGAACAAAGTCTGCCTTTCCAGGTTTTAGCAAGTGTCCACAACTAGATAGATTATAGTAAAACCCCTGAAAGTGAAGATTAAAATTTAAAACAATTTAAAAGGTAACGGTAACACTGGGAGTCATTTCTCATAGAAACAGTACAAGCCAGAAAAAAGGGGATTCTTTCAAAGCATTAAAAGAAAACATCTACCAAACTCAGTATCTTAGTTTTAAGGCAAAATATAAAAGACACTTTTGGATAAAATCTGAAAGAATTTGTTATCAGCAGATTCCACACTAAATGACACACTGCAGGGAGTTCCTTCAGACAAAAGGAAACTCATCCCAGATAGAATCCTAAAATGTACAGAAAAGAATACAGAACAAATAACATTTCAGGACACTGCAGTAAAGAAAATTTGCAAAGAGTCCACAGGGGCAGGAAGAGCAAGGAAGACATACAGACTCTGGAATCAGAAATCAAAATGGTATTATGTACTGATGTATAAAAATGGAAAAATGAGACCTCTTGAAACTATTCTAAGAATGGGTGGAAGGAGAATAAAGGAAAATGGTGGAGGGGGTGAATTTAGCTAAGATATATTGTAAGCACTTTTGAAAATGTCACATTGTACCACCAGAACAGCAATAATACAATAATTAAAAAAAGAAATCAAGTGGCTCTTATCTTCCAATAGCAAATCTAAACACAAAGAACTAGTGGGTGTAGTGGCATGGACCTATATAATTCAGAGGCTGAGGCTGGAGGCTTGTGAGTTTGAGGCCAGCCTGAGTTACATAGAGAGACCCTGTCTCAAAAACGAAACATAAAACCAAAGAGCTGGAAAGCAACGCTTTCGCAATTCTGAGGGAAAAGGGTCTTGGATCTAGAACATTACACCCAACATAACTAAGATGAATTAAAGACCGTTTCAAACACATAAATCCTCAAAATCATTTTCTCCCATGTACCCTTCTTCAGGAAAATCCTGGAGGACATGCTGTGCACCAGAGCAAAGGAGCAGCTATGGAGACAGCAGCATGGGATCTGAGGGAGGGCGAGGGATCTTCAAGCCAGCCGAGCTGAATCCAGGACTTATCAGACATTCTGAGATGGCCCTGAAGTCGTGGGAATGAGTCATTAAATGAACTACTGGTTGCTTAATAGCTACAGGTGATGTTTAACCTTAGCTGTCTGACTACCATTTTAAAGTACATACACCATTCCTGCAGAATGAGGGAAACTACTGTTTCTAAAGACAGCTCCTCTGACCTCCAGGAAAATAACTGCTCCTTTGCCATCTCCAGGGGTCCAGAAAAAAAAAACGGGCACAGGTGCAGGCGAAGGTGACCATGTCAGTTGCAGGAGTCCCCTCGCAGCCATGGACATGCTCAGGGGCTTAATGCCTGGCCACCAAAGTCACACTAGTGACTAGAGTCACACACACCTCATGCTGTGAGTGACACATGAGGCTCAAAGCAGGTCTAGATTGATTTAACCCACCCAAGAAACAGAATTCCTCAAAGCACATCTATTCAGATGCCCATCTCAGGTGTGACTTAGGGACAAGGGCACATTTACTCAGTTCTCTGAATTCATTCAATTAAAAACACAAACACAACAGTGCGGAGTCTGTATTATGACCAGCTATTACCCAGCTTTTCAAAGTCAGCAGCATGCGAAAGGTAGATCCCACCATTTACTTACATGACATCCAGCACAGAATCATTCCGAATGACCTTATGGGAGACATCAGCAAGCAGGAAAAGACCTCCATCTGTCCTCCGGATGCTAGCTGCATAGCCAGGCCAGATCTGCAGTCTAAGAGAGAGGTGGTCTTTACCATGGTCGTGTCCATCACCACATCTGAAATAGTACTCTGAGCTAATTTTGTTCTTAGAATTTCACCCCAATTGTAGTAATCACTACGAAATTTTTCTTTCTAGAACAATCAAAAGTGAAGGGAAAAAAAAAAAAAACAACCAACCTGTGTTGCTGAAGTACCATAGCACTTGTAGGGTCATAGAAGTTTCTCCCCACAAGCTTCATATCTAAAAGTTTCATTACCCTGGGGAGGGAAAAAATTAAAATTAAAATTAAAAGTTTCACTACCCTGAAATAAAGAGTAAAAAATGGGATTTCTTTTCTTTTCTCTTTGTCAGTGCTGGAGCTAGAACCCAGGACACTGACACATGCTTGGCAAGTGGTCAAACCACTGAGCAACACCCCACTCCCAGCCCTAAAATGGATTTTCTAATAGAACAATGTTAAAAAGTAAGCTCCAATTGTCTTAGCTATGGTTTCCTTTGGAGGGCTAAAGGATCAGGAATGTTTGCGTCCTTTGTACAACATGGCAATCTTGCTAAAAGAAAAATAAAAATTTCCAAAGCATTTACCCTGGTGTATGTGCAACTGCAGCCTTTCCTATGAACTAGCTAACCAAACACTGAGTTATTTCCCAGGCTCAATTTACATTACTTTCCACAGTTAATTAAGAGAATGCAAGAGAGCCAGTTTCCAAGTCTGTGAATAACAGCCTAGCAAAGGGAACTACGTATGCTCCTGGCAGTTCGGTTTACTAGATACACATTAATTCAGTTTCATTAAATGTGAGGAAGTTTGGGAATGGCAGCTGTGAAAAAATTAGGGAGTCTCAAAAGAAATTAAGCAACTGTGTGTTGCCTGCAATCCAAAAATTCAAAGGAATGGAAAAATTATCCCAGGAATTATTGTTTGTACTCTTCAAGTAGTTCTCCAATATGATTACATACATAATATGAACTGCTCTGAAAGTTCTTGTATGAATCCAAAGGAACCTATTCCTCTACCCAACTACCTTGAAAACTATTTAATACACCCCAAACTAGCCTATGACTTGAAAGACAATTTTTGAGTAAGTTAGCATCAAGATTACCCACTTGTTTACTAAATATTTCCAAACCCATCTATAGCTATCTCTACTATATGCAATGTCCCCCAATCTGCTTGAAGAGTATTGCAAATATACGACAAAAGTTAAAGCCCCAAAAGACACAGCTTGTCTTCTCACCGCCGAAAAACAACATTGTAGAAGGGAATGCACAAGTCAGAGCAGGGCTCCAGGATCTTTGTCAACTGAATCTTAATGCTGATCTCCGCATTGTCAGTTTTTCTTTGACTTTTTAACTCAAGAACCTAACAAATAAATATACACAAGTAAAAACAAATGACAAAACTACCAAGCCATAATCTAATCCAACTGTATTCTACAGAACACCAGATATCTCAAAATGTGTTTTCTACTTCTGTCTCACTTTGCTGCCCAAACTGGCAAATTCACAGCAGGACAGCTAGGATTTGAGAAATTATTTGGTAAGAGAAACTCATAAAGTTTCAGGTTGAAATGTTAAGCCATTCTTTATCACTGAAGCTAAAAGCTTCCAATCACTCCTCTTGTGTGAGAAGATACTTCTTAAGAACTCAACTGGAAAAATCTCTCCTATGTCTGCCTTCCCTCTAAGAATAGGAAGATAGAACTCAAATGTACAAGAACGCTATGATTTCTCAATACTCAAAACACCAGAGCACTCTTGGGTTTCATCCAAAATACAATTTCCATTTGGTCTCACTTGTTGAAGCTTAACAGGCAGATAGAGAATAGACCCATCAAAAGCAGTGACATTTCCAGTGACAGAACGATGGTCCTTCAACATGCCAAATCTCATGCTTTTGCACTCCACGTTGGGGCTGGAAAATAATAAAGAGGATTTTACTTCAATTTGGCTCAAACAGTAATCTTTTACTATGGCTGTGCTATAAGTTGTGGTAGAGTAGTCATTTGTAACTGTGCTCCATCTAGTGGTCATGTTAAAATTACACCACTGACTAAAAAGTGGACTCAGATACCTGCTCACTGCATAAGCAGAAAATATAGTAAACAGTAGTGGCACATGCTACTTGGGAGAATGAAACAGGAAGATGAGAGTTCAAGACCAACCAGGGCAACATAGGAAAGAGGGAGGGAGAGATGGCAGAGGGAGGGAATAGGTAGTAAGTTAAAAAAAAATCTCACCCATAATTCCAACACCCAAGGACAACTGCCTTTAATATGTCAGTGTATATTCTTTGAGATTTTAGATCAGGGATCAGAAAACATTTTACTTACGGAGCCATACAGTAAATATTTTAGACTTTGTGGGGCCTGTGGTCTTGGAACCCTGCTATCAGAGCACAGAGTCGGGCACAGATAATAAGTAAATAGTGAGTGTAGCTATGTACCAATAAAACTTTGTAACAAAGACAGGCTGAGGTCAGGTCAGACCTCTGAATTAACTCCGGCTTTTCAAGCCCTGCTATGAGTCTTCAAAAATACACACTTTTAAAAAGTGCTTTGTTTTTTAAAATGGGATTTCAATCATTTTCACTTGGGGCAATTTTGACTTTATTGTCACAATCTTACAGCTTTTAAAAACTCCAATAAGCTACTTTATACGATTATGATTGTCTTATTATATCATAGTAAGATACAACCTTCTTCTACAACTGCAAAGTTTAAACAAATCCAAGCCTAAAAATGGTCATGTATGTTCAAGTACATGAAGAAAGACTAGGGGAAAAATGAAGTATGTTGATCCCTAAAATTAAACATTTGCATGCTAACATCATATTCCCTCAAAAAAAAAAAATCACACAGACATGGAAATGTCACAGTGAAATCCTCTGTATAGATATCTTAAACGTACAAAAATGTCTTTTTTCAAAAATGAAGGATGGGAAGGTAAAACAGGTCCTGTCTGGGGATTGGTACCAGTGGGAGGGAGGAGGGCATACAGAAAGGGTGAAGGAGGGTAAATACGGTGGAAATACTAATACTCATACATGTACTCATGTATGAAAAAGGAACAATGAGACCTGTTGAAACTGCTCTAAGAAAAGGGGAGGAAGGATAAAAAAAAATGATGGAGGGGTGAATCTAACTAAGATATGTAAGCATTTTTTTAAATGTCACATGTAACAAAAATGTAAGAACAATGCTGAGAGAAAAAAAAAGAATGAATCTATATGGATACTTTCATGAAAGCAAAGAAAAAGTCTTCTGTGGCATGCAAGAAATATTTCTTCATATAACACAAAATTAGTGTACTGTAATATTACTATTATTTAACATGTACTATTAACACGACAGGGAAGGTGAAATTAATGGAATAGAAATGATAATGTATACTTGAAACATATAAACATGCACACGTAAAAATATAGCTATCACAAATAAAGTGAATTTTTTGTACTTACTTAAAAAAATCTCACATACCTTATGCAAAATTCTTTGGACCAAAAGTGTTTCTAATTTTGGAATATTTGCATTACATAAGAAGATATCTTGGGGATGGGACCCAAGTCTAAACACATATATGTTACGCACACAGCCCAAAGGTAATTTTACTCAGTATTTTAGATAATTTTGTATACAAAATAAAGTTTCATGGCATGGCATCTTTCACTAAGACATGTCAGTGCTCAAAAGGTTTCAGATTTTAGAGCACTTTAAATTTGGGATTTTCAGATTAGGGTGCTCAACCTGAATACACTTAGAGCAATGCTCTGAACACAATATTTAAGTTTGTCTTCCTAGACCCACTATGTGCACTACAAGGCAGCCAGAGCATGACCAGAACACTAATCCACCTGCTCAGCATTCCCTCGGTGGCCTGGCATCACTTTCACAGTGTAGCCTGAAAGATCCAGATGTATAACCTCCAGTCTTATAAACCCATATCTTCTCCATGGCCCACTCAATACGAGAAATTCTTCAGTTTAATGAACACTTGTCAATCCGTTCTCAGACAGCATTGTCCCCTCTTTAACACTTAACTCCTCCCCTTAGTTTCACATCAGGTCTACTTCCTGGGACTCAACTTTGCCCTCTTCTCTGACTCCTTTCCTTCCCCTGCTTGGCTCTGCTTCCTTACCCCTGGTAAAGCACTCCTTTGCCCTCTGTAATTATCATTCCTTTCTCATTACTCTTAGAAACTTTTGAAATGAGTGGTTGATTATCTGTTATTTCTCATGGCCTATGATCTTCCTCTTTCCTTTAATCTTTTAGTGTTTTTTCTGTGATTCTAACAAAGCTACTGGAAGATCCCAAGAGTACCCTCCCAAAGAAATCCATTAACTTTTTTTCCCCTGTGATCAAAGTCAACCACTTCCTCTTCATTCAAATGGGTCCTTCCTTTGGTCTTCAGGGTACTTTCCCTCTAGCTGTCCCTTTCTTCTCTCTTTCACTCAACTTCTAACTCTTCTACCACCAATTACTAGCCATCCTTCTAATATTTAGACTTCCTGGCTGGCCCAGGTGGCTCACAGCTATAATCCCAGCTACTAGGGAGGCAGAGATCAGGGAAATCTTGGGTCAAAGAGAGAGGATGAAGAATTGTGTTGAGGCCAGCTCAGACAAAAAGTTAGTGAGACCCATCAATAAACAAGCCAAACATGGTGGTATGAGCCTGTCATTCCAGCTACACAGGAGGCCAACCCTGGGAAAAAAAAAACACTACCCAAAAAAAATAACTAAAGCAGAAAAGGGCTGGGTGTGTGGCTCAAGTGGTAGTGTGTCTGTCTAGCAAGCATGAAGCCCTAAGTTCAACCCTAAATTCTGTCAAAAGAAACCAAGAATCAGACTTTCTAATATAGCCGTTTTGGAAAACAGTATGGAGGTTTCTCAAAAAAAATTAAAAATAGAATTAGCATATGATCCAGCAATTCCACTTATGGGGATATGTCCAAAGGATCTACAATCAGTTATTTCAAATAAGTATCTATACACCGCTTAGACCTCAATGGCTCATACCAATAATCAAAATTCCTAGCTACGTGGGAGACTGAGATTGGGAGGATTGAGGGTGGAGGCCAACTGGGGCAAAAAGTTAGCAAGATCTCATCTCCACCAATAGCTGGGTATGGTAGCATGTGCCTGTTACCCCAAGCTATGAGGGAGGCTGAGATTGGAGTAATTCCAGTTCCAGGGCAGTCTGAACAAAAAAGTTTACAGGACCCCCATTTCAATGAAAAAAAGCCGGGTGTGGTGGCATGTACGTCACCTCAGCTTCAGTGGGAAGCATAAAATAGGATGACAGTCCAGGTCATCCTGGGCAAAAGGGAGACTCTGCTGCTAAAACAGGGCAAAAAGGACCAGAGGTGTAGTTCAAGTGGTAAGGCACTTGCCTTGCAAGTAAGAAACCCTGAGTTTAAACCTCAGTACCACAAAGACAGTGAGTGGGTGCATGCAGGTGCTGAGCACTGGTGGCTCACATCTGTAACCCTAGCTACTTGGAAGGCTGAGATTGGTAGGACAAAGGTTCAAGACCAGACCAGGTAAATAGTTCACAAGACCCCCGTCTCCAAAATAACCAGAGTAAAATGGGCTGGAGGTATGGCTCAATCAGTGAAGAGCCTGCTTTGCAAGTGCAAAGCCCTAAGTTCAAACTCCAGTCCCACCAAAAAAAAAAAAAGAGAGGTGTTATTTTTAAATTGCTGAAGATACCTTAAATGTGCTCACCACAAAAAACAGGTAGGTTAGAAATATGTTAATTGGCTTGATTTGATATTTCTATGGTGTGTGTGTGTGTGTATACATATATCAAAACATATTGTACTCATAAACATATACAATAACTGCCAATTCAGACTTCCATTTTATTTCCTCCACAGATATTTCAAGACTCTCATTCACTTTCATAATTCCAGCTAATAATCTCTAACTAAAGGCTCCCCTAAGCTCTTACAAACAGTGTAAAAACCAATATAATTCTTAATTTTAAAAAAGTATGATAAATCTAAGTTGTTGATATAAAATTAAAGTTCTTTTCCTTGATGTTTTTCATGCGCAGGTTTATCCTCCACTGTCACTGAACAGACATCAAATGATGATATGCAGGGGAGGATCTGGTTTGTGGGATGTGATCTTATACCACTGGGGAGGGGGTTTAAAGAAGGAATATACTGGAGTCTCTACTCCCATTTCCTGCTTGGGGAGCAGGAAATGTTTCTCCCTTTTTTCCCCCATTTCTCCCCACTTTTATCCTGTTATACTAAATTCTTTTCCTAATAAACTTTACTCGCCAGGTGCCAGTGGCTCACGCCTGCAATCCTAGCTACTCTGGAAGCAGAGATCAGGAGGATCATGGTTTGAAGTCAGCCTCAGGCAAATAGTTTGAGAGACCCTATCTCGGAAAAACCCATCACAGAAAAGGGCTGGTGGAGTGGTGCAAGCAGTTGAGTACCTGCTTAATAAGTGTGAGGCCCTGAGTTCAAACAAACAAAAAAAAAAACCTTGACTATTATTTTTACTACAAAAAAACCCAAAAAGGAATACAGGCTGGATGCTAATGGCTCAGGCCTATAATCCTGATATACTGAGGAGGACTCCGTTCAAGGCCAGCCTGAGAAAAAAAATGAGACCCTACCTTGAAAAATACCTTCACAAAAAAGGGCTGGTGGAGTGACTCAAAGTGTAGGCCCTGAGTTCAAACTCCAGTACTACAAAAAAACAAAACAAAACAAATATAAATGTATATATACACACATGCGTATGTGTACATATAGGTATGTGTATATATACATACATATGTGTATGTGTATATATATATATATATATATATCCAACACAAAAAAAGGGCTGCTGAGATGCCTAAAGCACTAGAGTGCCTGCCTAGCAAGTATGAGACTCTTGAGTTAAAAACCCCCAAATAAAGAGGAATACAGGGCTAGCTGTGTTGACTCATGCCTATAATCCCAGCTACTCAGGAGGCGGTGATCAGAGAGAGAGAATGGTGGAGGCCAGCTGGGACAGAGTTAGCAAGACCCCATCGCATCAAACAAACTGAATGTGGTGGTACACTGCTGTAATCCCAACTCCTGTGGAGGCCACAGGTAGGCAGATTATAGTCTGAGGACAGCCTTAGGCAAAAAGCGAGGAACCCTTTCTGAAAAATTACTAAAGCAAAAAAGGTTAGGGATGTGGCTAAAATGACAGGGCACTTGCCTAGCAGGTGTGAGGCCCCAAGTTCAAACGCTCAGAAAATAAAGGCATGAGGTCATGGGGGCCCAAGGTCATGGGGGCAGGAGGTCATGGGGGCACAAGGTCATGGGGGCCATCCAAGTAAAAGGCCTTGAACTTTAGCTTCGTTAGTTTCACATTGAATCCACTTCTAGCATCACAAATAAGCCTGTGCCTGTTAGATGAAGATCTGAGTTGATAATATAGCTAAAAACATAATGCACAGATAGTTAACCTTCCTGCCAGAATCTGAGCACAGGCACTACTGTGTGGGAGCTTTGTCCGGAATTATATGAAGCAGTATTGTTATTCCAGTCATTCCCGCCCAGAATTAAGTGAATAGAGAGGAAAACAGCTGCAAATACCTGAAAGTCACATGGTATTGATAAACCGCTTCGTTATGACACTGTATTTTGATGAGGTTCAGTCCCAAAGACTGAGACGTTCCTTTTGATCCTTGCTTCACAAAAAGCTCTCTGGAAAATAAAAATGAGAAACGAAAGCACCAGCAGAGTGCAGTGTACGCACCTATAGTTCCAGCTACTAGGCAGGCTAAGGCAGGAAGATCTCTTGAGCTCAGGAGTTCAAGGACAGCCTGCACCACATTAAAAAAAGCACCTACATACCTGAATATACCAAAATCAAAAAACTTATCATCCCACATCATCAACAACAAAAAGAATGGATGAATTAATGTTTTTTCACACTTCAGTTACAGATAAACAAACCAAGAGCCATGATATACAGACACTAGCTTTAAAGGCTAGAAGATCAATCCTCCAAAGGGTCTAATTAGATAAGCAAGGCCACCCTGCCCATCCTAGTGATAGTACTGGAGTTCCCAAGACCAGCTGAGAACAAAGAGTTGGCTCTGTAGAAGGATGAAGTGCTGATGACACTGTTTCTAAATGACGTATCATCAACACGCCAGAGAACCATTTGAATTGGAAAGCGAAAGACAGGTTTTGAGTCTCCTCTCTGGTACACACTACCACGTATTTTCACTGTTAAACCCAATGCACTTCATTAGGAATTGTTTCATGTTTGTCTACCAAATCATTGGCAAAAGAAACATCCTGCAGTCCCTATCATCTAAGGAAAACTCTGGACACAGAAGTAGAGTTCACATTACTACACAGCAGCCCAGTACAGAGACTCAGGAGGCGCCTCTTCCTCCACCATCCCGCCACAGAGCAGGTTGTGTTCCTGACTTACTTTTCCTTTCCTTCCAGAGTCAGGTGATCCGCTGAATGTAGTGAGGGTGGGGATAGAGTTGGGGGTTGTGACAGACGTAGGGGATTCCTGGCTGTTAGGCCAAATGCACTGGGAGGCTTGTCCACTCCTCTGCCTATACCACTGGCTGCTCTGCCCAGTGGTAATATAGAGGCATCCGAACTCCCTCTTCCAAGTACTCTGAAATGGGGAAAAGAGAAGCAAAGGAGGGCTTTCCTAGTCACGCTTCTATTTGTGCTGCCTCTAGATCATACCTGCGAGTCTGCATTCTCTTTTTGGAGGGGTCCCCGAAGGAGCCCAAGCACCACTATGGAGTTCTCTCAAAACAATGACACATTTACCAACTGCTCCTGATATCCACTATCAGAGCACAACTGCAGAGAGTGAGTCATTCAGACTAAAAGAACATCCACAATCAGGATAGCTTGTTAAGGGGGCAAATGAAGTTGTAGCCACCAACGGCTGCCTGGAGCAGCAGCAGTAAATGGCTCCCAGAAAAGGTCTGCCTTGGATATGCTTGTTCAAGAGGAAACAGGCCCTCCCAGGACTCTCTCTCCACCTGAACCTGCTCGTCACACAAAATGGTGACTGTACTCACCTACTCCAACCTACAGAGGCCTCTGCCAGCTTGCTATCTCCAGCTGTCAACATGGAATGATCAGGAAAAGCAGAATGGGGTTCTTTTTTGTCCTTTCGGGCTGTGTTAGCAGATAAGCCTCGACCTAAAATGCCTCTACCTGAATGAAAGAACCAAACCTCAGCTGTAACTGTGAGCTGAGCATGTTACATGGTTATTTCTCTAAAGATAAACAGTATGGATTTAAGAACAAAGCGACGTACATGCCTCCACATTTCTCAAGTTAGTTTTCCACATACCTAAAGGAGGCACCTCCCGTTGTGGGGGGGTCGGGGGCGCTGTCTCAAGGCCCATGCCTCGGAACATGGATACCAAACCTGTAGACTCCTAGGGAAAATTGATGAGTAAAGTTATTTTAGGACATAGTTTAAAACCCTGACACAATGACTTTCTTAAAGTCTTGGTAAATAATAAAAATTAACTTCTCCAAATTCTATAAGTGTTTTAAGATTTAAAGATAAGGCTATTTTATAAAATATAACAAAATGCAACATTTTTCTAGTTTATTTCCCGTACACCCAAGGTAAAAGGGAATAGTACACTGGTTAATAAATTTCCAAAAATATCTAGGTCATTTAAGGGTATCAGAAGTTTTGTTTTCATTGTTTTTATTTTTTTCTGACAACATCCAACAAAATATGCTACTGTTTTCCTGTAGCAGTCTTGAAAGTTTACTGTTACATCAGTCAGAGCTGCTACATGAACAAAAGCCACATACAAACCCAAGCGACTCACAAGTAAACATGCAGGATTTCTATTGTAGTTTTCTTCTTACAAAGAATTACATTTGACAATGTCAACACTACTTAAAATGACAAAATGACTGTAACTGCATTTATTAGGTTCTTCCTCTACGTGCTTTTTATCTTTGACATATATCAATTACTGCTCTATAATCACTACATCATTTGGAGATTAAGAACACATATGTGCTCACACTTCAGCAGCAACAGCCAAAGATCCTGTCTTCAAGATTTGACCAAGGAGCTTTGGAAAGGAGCACATCTAACAATTACTACCTTAGAGACAGGAGATTGCCAATATCACACAGCCCAACCAAAGTAAAAATATTAACATTCAGGAAAAAACAACAGGCTGTATCTTTTTTTTTTTTTTAAACTTTGCTTCTGCCTCAATTCTTGTTTTGGTGATACTGGGGTTTGAACACAGGGCCTCATGCTTACTAAGCAGGTAATCTATCACGTGAGCCACTCCACCAGCCCTTTTTTTTTTGAGACAGGGTAGCCCAGATCTGGAACATGCAATCCTTCTGCCTAAGTCTCCCAAGTGCTAAGATTACAGGTATGCACTACCATGCCAAACTGTCTTTTCTTTAAAAACTGGCACATATTAACAGGCTGTATCTTTAAACCTCTCAATTATGAATGGATGGATAAATGGGTGATAAATGCATGGATGGACAGAATAACTAAAGCTAGAGGACTGGCCTAAAGCACTTACCCAAGGCTGTCTGGTGTTTACTATGAGGCAATTTTTCTAGACCTGCAACTTTGGGATTTGAACTCAATGCCCAGAAGATCAAAAGATGAAACTACTTGTTGGAAAAAAAGAAACCCTCTCCCCATTCCCCACTAAAACACACACACACACAAAAAAAAAACAAACAAAAACAAAACAAAAGAAACAAAAACAAAAACCTCTTGGCTTCTCAGTTTCCTAAGTACTTTGAAATCCATCCTTTCCTCTCATCCCACAGGCAAGCTGTAGGCTACTTCAGGACATCCAGACATATTCTTACCCTTTGTGCTGGCCATCTCTGGTTGCTGAATTCCTCTGTCTTTCTAAACACATGGCCTCTGCCTGTAGGTGCTGCCCTACCAAGAGGTGTGTCCAAAGACCTAGGAGACTGTGGCCAACAGCCTGGCATCCGCACATACTGAGATGAGTGGACAGAGGCAGAGCCCCTGAATGGTGGCTGCACAGGATCCATCAAAGAGCTGTGGACACAGGTGTAGATATTGTTCTGGTTAATTACCTGTGAGCATTTTTAAAACATGAAAAATTCTCCACACACAAAGCATGGGAGAAAATAGTGACTTTGATAGTTACAGTAATTACCACCAGACTTCTGTAGCATGTTCATTTCAAAAGCTTCTATTTTTTTGTTGTTTGAGACAAGGTCTCCCCATGTAACCCATACTGGCCTCAAACTCTCCATCTGCCCTTCCTGAGCTTCCTGAGTGCTGGAATTATAGATCTACGACACTATGCCTAGGCAAAGCTTCTATTTGAGTCCAGAAAATTCTAAGTGCCCTCCATCAGCAATCTCTTAGAGGTCGAAGCACTCTGAATCTATGCAAGTTTTCTACCTAAGTGTATTCTCAGTCCTATAAGTTAATCACTTATTGTAGAAGGAAGCAATTTTTATGTCTGGGGATGATTCTGGTTTATAAGTAAATTTATAGTTAACATGATGACATCGTAAAATTATTCTTTCAACTAACATTTATGAGTTTTTGCTTTGCTTTTGGCCTCTCCTATACCAGAGTCTTACTTTTTCCAGTCTGTAATTGCATTAAACCCATCTTTTTTTTTTTTCAATTATTGTTGTGCTTGGTGGGGGTACATTGTGGCATTTACAAAAGTTCTCAAAATATATGAAATATATTATACTTGATAAACTCATCTCCTTGATCACCTGAGTGACTTCTCTGACTCTTTATCCAATTCCTTTCTGAAAAACTTCTTTCAACCACCACCAGAACTGAGGTCTCCAGGGTACATAGCCTTTCTGCATTGAGCCTATAATACTTGCTGGATCTCATGGGGTTCCATTTAATGCCCCCTCTCAGGAATGAGGCTCTTCTCCCTAAAACCCACCCCAAAATCTAAGATCCAGCAGGCCTCTTCAAAATTACTTCAGGACTCCCACTGTAAGGGACTCCTTTCATTGTCCCAACCTGCCCCTGATCCCTGATAAATCTTTTCTTTCTTTTTTAAGTCTGCAATACTCAGATTCTAACAAATGGCCTTGCACATGTTATAAGCATGCACTCTACCACTAAGCTACAACCACAACTTCAAGAATCTTTTGTAACTGGAAACTAAATAAGTCTTTTCTTAATTTTTTTGAAAACCTACCTGCAGTATTAGCTACAGAGAAATCAGGCCATGCCTATAAAGAAAAAACTGAAACACAATTCCTAAATCGCTAGTATAGGTGACAGTACTTCAAGAATTTGCAAAATTTGGGCTGGAGGCATAGCTCAAGTGGTGTAACTTCAAACCCCAGTACCACCAAAAGAAAAAGAAAAAAAAAGAATTTGCAAAATTCTTTGAACTGAACTACCTTTTTTTACACTATAAAAACTAGCTATAGCCTGGGCAAATAGTTCCTGAGACCCTATCTTGAAAAAACCCATCACAAAATAGGACTGGTGCAGTGGCTCAAAGTGCAGGCCCTGAGTTCAAACCCCAGTACCGCAAAAAAAATGCTGGCTAAACCTCCCTTTCTCAGAGATTACAACAGCTCTCCTCTTTCATTGCTAAAATTGCTTCTTAGTGAGCTTGCACTCTTGATCACACCACTCTTAAGAATCCATAAGTCAGATACCTAACTGGTACACACAGGCTAACCACAGGATCTCTGTAATCCTCTCTTCAGCCTTCCCTCACTCCATGGGCACATCTACAGATTCACCCCTCCTCCAGGAGGTCCTCCCTTAAAAGTAAATTTCCTCACTGACTAGTTAGCAGTTGACTAAAGAGTTCAACTCTTTAGCCTGGCCTGGGGCCCATCCCTACCTTCTCCACTCTGCAAGCACGTGCTCTAGGCTGGGGCACTAGGCCTCTGGCCTACCCAAAGAGAGGCCCATGAAGGCATATCCCAGTCCCTTTTCACCTGTCCAACAGCCTTGCTGGGGTGGGGGGGTGTCTTACCCAAATTCCCTTCCAAATTATCACGCCACTCAACCCTAAGTGAGTATCCTCCCAACACTGGCCACCACTTTCCCTACTTTTGGAGTTCTTCCCCCACACTCGGCCTCGAATAACGACTTCCCGCCCCGCCCCCACTGCCGCCCCACCTCGCGCCAAGGGGGAAGGGGCGGATAGCGTGGGAGGAGGTCCGCATTCCCCACCATGTGCTTGGATTGGGCTAAAGATCACCTGGTGTGTATCTTGGCGCTCCTGGCCTTCCACACCTGGGTCCCTTCCTCTCACCTGAGGCTCGAGGCAGGAGGTCACTTCTCTCACCCACCTGCCAGGCAGCCGGACACAAGTGCTCCAGTCCCAATCTCCGGCGTGTGGCGGAAAGGACCCCCCCAAGGCTGAGTTCATTGGCCCAAAGACATGTCAGTCACAAAATTCAGCCATCTCATTGGTTAGTCTGCAAACTAGGCTTGCCCCTTTTATGCAGCCTCGCCCTACAAAGAGGTTCACCTCAGAGGGATTCTAGAAGTTATGAGGAACCCCAAGCAATAAAGTATGTTACCTCCCTAAGATCCCAGCTCCCATTCGGAGGGCAATCCTGTAAACAGACGTAGCTTACACACTCATGCTGAAATTGAGTGGCTCAAGTGGTAGAGCTCATGCCTAGCAAGAGCAAGGTCCTGAGTACCCAGTACCACCAAAAGAAAGAAATTGACTTACCTTGTCCCTCCTAGTTGGACTATATAGGGGTGTAAGTGGCTTAAAAAAAAACAAACAAAAAACCACAACAAGCTTGGAGGTGGGAATGTAGCTCAGTGGTACAGTGCTTGCCTAGCATGCATAAGGCCCTGGGTCTACCCCCAGCATCCCATCCCCCCCCCAAGTGAGCTTCAGTTCACATCCAAACACCCAATTATGTGATTAATGCACATCGTTTTTCTTATATATAAAATGGGCGGGGATGTAGCTCAGTGGTAGCTGACCTTTTCGGAACTCTGGCCAAACCTTACATGAAAGATTCATTCATCATATATGCAATCATACTTTATCTACAGGACTCAGCAAGTCTTCTGGTTGATGTAAGACAACAGTAATTCTCAGATGATTTTCTTATCACCTCTGTTTTGCAATCTGAAACAAAAGCACCATTACAAAGTGGATAAATTGAGTTCCCTAGATTTTTATACTGCATTCATGCAAGAGAAGTTGGCTTCTGTATAATATTTCTAACCAATCCATACATCATGAATACTGCTTATTTCACCAAAGGAAAATCCATACAATCTTGGTGTTACAAAGATAAAGACGGTTGAAGCTGAGGGCACTGGTGGACCACACCTATAATCCTAGCTTTCAGGAGGCAGACATTAGAAGGATCAAGGTTTGAAGCCAGCCTGGGCAAATAGTTCTTGAGGCCCTATCTCAAAAAAAACCCGTCACAAAAAGAGGGCTGGTGGAGTGGCTCAAGTGGTGAGAGTCTGCCTAACAAGCATAAGGCCCTGAGTTAAAAAAAAAAAAAGATGGTTTGCTTGATGTTCTATGAAATACAGGCATCTGTTTAGAATCTTTCCAAAGTCAATCAACTTTTCCTGGAGTTTGTATTTCTTATCTGTATACTTTAGTAGCTAATAAATTAACCGTCCCTTGGATAAAAATAGCACACCCTAAGCCTGGCATGGTAGTTCAGGTCTCTAATCTAAGCACTAGGGAGGCTAAAGTAGGAGGATCTTAAGTTCAAGACCAGCCTGGGCCATATATTAAGACTCTGCCTCAAAAAACAAAAACAAAACATCCACATACACAAAGATAAGTGAGTGAGATAATGGACACATTAATTAGTTTACTTTAATCATTTCACAATTTAAACATTTATCAATTTGTACCTCAAATATATATCATATTGTACCTCCATAAATGTATAGTGATTATTTGTCAATTAAAAGAAAACAGCACACATGTATCATATTGTCTAAGATAAAGTATTTGAGTTATTTAGAGATTGTGTTTTTTAACCCAAAAAAGTCATAACCTCAAATTCTGTCCACCTGACCCTACCGGACTGTAAAACTTGGTGTGAAGATGGACCTATAACTAATACAATCTGGATTTTCCTAGACAGTCATGACTTCAAATACTCTGGCCCCTTATCCCAGTAAGTTCTTCTTTATGACCATGCATTTTGATTTAGTGTTGTTATTCAGAAAACTGTATTACCAAAGCTACAGTAAGATTAAGGGCAGAAAATTATATCCCACTGGCCTAGAAACTACATGGGGTGGGGGGATTTCATCATTTAAAGTAGAGTTATGCCTTTAGTATCTCTGGGTTCCTGGAAGATGTAAATACAAATCCTCTCAGGAGAAATACACCCATAACCAGGTCCTAAAGCTCCCACATAAAAGGTGTCAACAAATATTAGCTCACATATGTGGAATCTACACCTGAAAAAAAAATAATATGACATGATCATAAAGGGGGGACTGTTTGGAGGAGGAGGGCATATTCACAATATAATCACAGTACATCATATATATGAAAAGAGCAAATTCACCCTGTCTACATTACTCTCTTACCCTGCTTTTTAAGTTTAGTGGGTTTTAATTATGCTATTTGATCAAAGTACATTATATGCATGTATGTAAATATCACAATGAAACTTCTATGTAAGCACTGGCACAGTGGCTCAAGTGGTAGAGAACCTGTCTAGCAAGTGTGACCCTGAGTTCAAACCCCAGTACCACCAAAAAAAAAAGAAAAAAAGCCACACAAAACTTCCTTGTACAATTAATTTTATGCTAATAATTTTTTTTAAATATGAGCTTACAAGAAAAAAATTGCAGTATATATCAAGCTCAATAATAAGAGAACAAACAAACAACAAAATTAAAAAATGGGCAAAAGAGATGAATGGACCAGACAGGTATGGTGGTGCATGGCTACAATGCCAGCAGTAGGGGAGGCAGAGGCAGGAGGATCAAAATTTCAAGGCCAGCCTGGGCTAAATAGTATGATCCTGTGCCAAAAAAAAAAAAAAAACCAACAAACCTAAATTAAAAAACT